GTGGTGCTATGCTTTATATGAGGTTTTTTTTCCCCCACAATAATCAGAAACACAGCCTAGGTGAGCATGAGAAAACAAATCAATAATCAACAATAAAAAATCCTACCCTAAAATTTCATATATTTTCATGAAACCAGTTTCTGCCTCAAACTTGTTTCACAATAAAGAAAACTGATATATTTTTTGGCATGTTCATCTCTGTAAACCCGATTCCACACACTCTGTATTGAAGAAGGTGATATAGAAATCAAATTTACTTTTAGGGTGTATTCATGCTAAGCACGGGAGTCATGAAACGAGCACGAGTGCTATTGTCCCCCTTCCCCCACACTCACAATGCACTTTACATTCTATGTCAGCGCACGCTTTTGTCTTCTTTCTTTTCTTTTTTTTTGCCTTTATTATAAGAGGGCAGAACATACTGACAGGAAGTTGGAAAGAGAAGGGGGATGGGATCGGGAAAGGTCCATGAGTGCAACTCGAAATCGGGACGCCCGCAGCACGGTTGAGCCATTTGTCTTGGTGCTGACAAAGATTACTTCTGTAAAGGAAACAAAAACTACTAATATATAATTAATTAATTAACTGAAATAAAAATTTCAATTGACAATAAATTAAAGAGTAAAACTAAGCAAAGCATCTACAGAAACTGAATTAAAATGAAATAATAATTAGCAAAAATATGTATTAGTTTTCAATTTAATAAGCACACTCATTTTGTAGGATGTAAAATCTGACCTGTGGCTGTTACAAAAATAGCTGTGACTGTGCTTTTACAGCCAAACACATAAGTCAAGTGCATGCATATGTGTAAAAAAAAAAAGACAAAGGGTTCTCTCTACCTGCCAAACCCTATAAACCAGGCATGTTTAACTGCATATTATCATATGAATGTATCTTTTATATGAAGAATTCTTCATCCTTTTTACTTTTATACATCTACATTAGTTTGGGTTCAGTGTTTGTTTAAACAATTATTTTTATTACTAAGAAGTTTGCACACGTGAGTAAATGTACGCTGTGCGAACACTAAACTTTGCTATCGTTGACACTGGGAATATTCTGTTAACTCTGTAAAACAAAAATGACCAAAACTGAAACTAAATGCATAAAAACTAAACAGAAAGGTGTTCACAAAATAAAAACTAAACTAGAACTAACAAAATCCTTCAAGAAACTGAAATGAAAATCAAACTGAAATCGAATGTAAATCAAATAAATGGTTTTATTTTATTTGTATCAAATAAAGACTACACAATTATGAGGAGCCTTATAAAGCACTCTTGTTCAGTACAGTAATTTTATTTACATTTGTTTGACACCAAAGAAAATATTTTATAGAACGCTGGAAACCTGTTGTATCGGATTTAATACCACATACAAAGTGGCTCAAATCTGAATTGAAAAGATCAGATTCCATGTGCTTCTTGTGCTGTTCACAAGGTCATAGCATAAACAAAGTCACATATGGTCAAAAAAATCTAGACTGTAGACCTCAATCCTGAATCTACCCTCTTTATTTTCCACAGACCGCCCGCTCCCCACCAACAACCAAAGCCTCAAAGACCAGCGCCGGCACCCCCAGTATAACACACCACAACACATGCTGCCCTGACAGTTGTATTTCTGTCTGCCATGGACGGGCCAAGTGAGAAATGTACAGTGGGCGGAGTCGAGGACAAATCAGGTGGTTGCACCCTTTCCCCCACTTATTCCCCCACCTCCGTCTGTGAACAGCTGTCAACTGTCAATCAAACGGTGAGGCGGTCACTGTTATTAAAGGAGCCTCCACTCGCAATACGTCATCGAGTGCATGATGGAAGTGGGAGAACTAAATGCCAATTAAATGCCTGTCGTCTGACAAAAGATGTCGATGGCAACAGACTGATCTTCTCAAACGTGTTACAATTCATATGTGCTATATAGGACCACTGTGACTGATTGCACTTCAGTAAAATTCACTGTTTTGTGTGTGTGTTTTTTTTTTAGGAATGTACAGAGAAAATGCTTTTTTTCAGCACCACAGCCAATCATTGCACCAATATCGTAATATGCAAAGGACAAACGGATTAATGCAAGCCTTTAGTTTACTATTTAGTGTAATCTGACAAGGTTATGGCGATAACCGCAGATTGTTCTCTCTCTGGTTCACTGTGGCACATAAGATTCAGAATAAAATTAAGTTGAGATTTCTTTTATGATGAGAAGCGAAATACGTAAAACTGATTTGTCCTTTTTATTAGCATTTGAAGTCGTTGTTACCCAATAAAGTGATTCAAATATATAAAGTATGATTTAACTTTTATACATAGTTTTATTTACAGGTTTATTTATGTGTAACTTTGAAAAAGAATTTGTTTTGACTTATTTGCCAAGAGAAATAATGTCCGCAGTGAGGCTTAAATCAGGTAATAATAAATACTTTCTTTAGAAAATAACTGCTGAGGCATTTAAGGGATTCACTACCTGACAAAAATCTTGTCGACTATCTACGTTTTAGGAGCAATGAACAATAACGACTTCTAGTTGATCATTTGGTATCAGAAGTAGCTTATATGAAAGGCAAAGGCCTCTAGATTACGCTCGTTTCACCAAAATAAAATATGATCATGATTTGATTTTTAATTATTTAATTAGGACAGTCTGACTTTGCTTAGACAAAAGTCTTGTTGCTTAACAGAAATGATGTACAGTATAGAGTATAAAGTCATGCTGCAGTGGAAAATATTGTAACATTGTGTTTGAAAGTGTTCTTGCAGGACTCCCAGAGTTCATCAAGATTCTTTGGATTCATCTTCAATGCCTCCTCCTCCATCTTACCAAACATGCTTAATAATGTTCATGTCTGGTGCCTGGGCTGGCCAATCCTGTAGCACCTTGACTTTCTTTGCTTTTAGGATCTTTGATGTGGAGGCTGAAGTATGCAATAACATCCAGCTGCAGATCAGCAGAACCTCACACGTTTCAGGCACACACGATCTAGGCAAACCATATATGGTTACGATGGATGTAATTGTTATTAACGTCTTCTCGGAGATCATCATCAATATGATTGTATATTGTTTTATATTGTACAAAATAAACAATAGTGTTTACTATTTCACAAATATTGTGATCAAGAGGAGCGAATGGGGAGCGTTGCTTCAGATCAACATTCAATATAATAGACTGAACAGATTTCTATCAGCCATCATAGATGATCAGTCCTTATTATCTGACAGAGTCAATATAGCAGATACTCGTTTTCTGGCCTTGCTAATCAATCTAAATTGGACAGGTTTAATAGGCAATAATACATCTTTATATGTAGTGAAAATCTTTTTACATGTAATAAATGTATGACATTATATTAATATTCTACTCAAGCGATTTAATAGTATTTATTTGCTTAATTTTCTAATATCTTTTTAATTAATGATTTCCCACATTTAGTACTATAGTAATTTAAAGTAAGCAATACATTGTTTTTAAACCATAAAGTACTGGTAATTTGTTGTAATTATAGTTGCAACAAATGTAGCATTGCAAACAAATTAACTGGTAATAATTAATATCAATTATATATATATATATATATATATATATATATATATATATATATATATTTCTAACAGTTGCTAACAGTTTAGTAAAAGACAGTAGTTTATAATCAGATAATTAGTTAAGATAATATAATATATAAACTATATTATATATTGTTTAAATGATTAACTATAGTCGTTAATTTTAATGTGACACATTATTGTTTGCTTTTTATATTTTACAATAAAGTGATTTTAACCAAGGATGATAATATTAAGATCCTGAATTAGTTTATTACACTTAATCCTACATTTAGACGGCTTATCATGATTTCTTTGTGTATGTGGACACATAAATTAAGTCATAAGTGTCTAACCAATTATTTTTATTTACATAATTTGAGTTCAGAAACGGCAGAGATGTTAAAATGATCGTTATGATATAATAATGATATAATGGGGAAACCATATTTGTGAAATTCAATAGGAGGTGATAATGCTTCTAAGGAGTTAGTTAGTTTGCCTAAATCATGTGTGCTAGATTGTATGTGCCTGAAACGTGTTTTTCTGCGGGTCTGCAGCTAAGTAAGGAGAGAGCAAATGTCTTGATGTTTCAGGCTGTTGATGTTGCCATCCACTCTGCAGATCTCTCGTACGGCCCCATACTGAATGTAACCCTAAACCATGATTTTACCTTCACCAAGCTTGACTGATTTCTGTGAGAATCTTGGGTCCATGCAGGTTCCAATAGATCTTCTGCAGTATTTCTGATGATTGGGATGCAGTTCAACACATGATTCATTGGATAATGAATCGACCTTCTGCAACTTTCCAAATGATTAACTAGAAGTCAAGTTATTATATGTTGCTCTTACAACTGAGATCGACGACAAGACATTTGTCAGCTAGTGTAGTTTACCCAAAGTAAAATGAATTCTGTCATCATTTCTGACACAAAAGAAGATATTTTGAAGAACGCTGGAAACCTGTAACTGCTGACATTCATATTATTTGTTTTTCCTACTATTTAAGTCGAGGGTTTCAGCTTTTTTCAAAATATCTTATTCAAACAAGTAAAAGGTGAAGGAAAAATGCTGAATTTTCATTTTGTGGTGAACTATCCCTTTAACATGATTTAAAATAATAATAATAGCAAAAGTAAAGAAATTCTCCTGTACTTTTCAAGGGCTACATGACTTTATGCATGCTGTTACATCTTATGCCATAAGTACATTTCTTCCTCGCTGAAATGAGAGTGAAGCGACTGAGTTTTTGAATCGCATGGTTCATATACTTCTTTCTTTGTGCAGAGCATAATACCACACGGGATAGATAAACCTATAAACTCATGCACGCTCAAACGAGCACACAGAAACCGCTCTATCATGTCTATTGTAAACCGCGTCCTCACACTAGGATCTTTCCAACATAGCAACATCAGTGCCATACAGTAAACGTCTGATAACAGTGTTATTTTACATCTGTGTATTATGTTAATGCGTATGATTGACTAAATGAATGTCCCCTTCCTCCAACCCCCACTACTTCAGTGTGATGGTGATCATTTTGGTTTTTGCAATGAAAATAAAAATCACTGGTCTGTTTTTAATCATGATGTGCATTTTAAACATCATTTGCTCTGCATTACACATACAATCAGGTATGTAGGACAGATGCTGGCCTAATATTGCCATCTTTCATTGTACATATGTAAACGTAGAAATAAAAAGACATGCAGTTGAAGTCAGAATTATTAGCTCCCCTGAATTAATAGAACCCGTTTATTTTTTCACCAATTTCTGTTTAACAGAGAGCAGATCTTTTCAACACATTTCTAAAGATAATAGTTTTAATAACTCATTTCTAATAACTGATTTATTTTATCTTTGCCATGATGGCAGTACATAATATTTGACTAGATATTTTTCAAGACACTTCTATACAGCTTAAAGTGACATTTAAAGGCTTAACTAGGTTAATTAGGCTAACTAGGCAAGTAATTGCATAATGATGGTTTGTTCTGTAGACTATTGAAAAAATATATAGCTGAAAAGGGCTAATAATTTTGTCTTTAAAATGGAGTTTAATAAAGGAATAACTGCTTTTATTCTAGCCAAAATAAAACAAATAAGACTTTCCCCCGAAGAAAAAATATTATCAGACATACTGTGAAAACTTCCTTGCCCTGTTAAACATCATTTGAGAAATATATTTAAAAAAAAAGAAAAGAAAAACAAATTCCAAGGGGGACTAATAATTCTGACTTCAACTGTAAATGACTGTTAACAGCTCAAAAATGTGTTTTGGTGTTTCGTGACCCTTTAATTGTTTTCCAAATTTAAGTCAGATGAACATAAAACTATTAAGTTGTCCCCAAAAAAACTCAAGAATTGTTTTGATTCAGCTCATTTTAATAAGTAGTTTAAACAATCAGCAAAGCTGTATATTCAACTGTATATTTACTCAAAGGGCTCTTTTTTGCCAGGTTTTCAAGATAAGTCTTTGGTGTCTACAGAATGTGTCTATAACGATTCAGCTCAAAATACCCATCAGATCATTTATTATACGCCGGCAGCTAGCTCTCTGCAACTCTCACATGGTCGCCCACTGAAGCTAAGCAGGGCTGCGCCCGGTCAGTACCTGGATGGGAGACCACATGGGAAAGCTAGGTTGCTGCCGGAAGTGGTGTTAGTGAGGCCAGCAGGGGGCGCCCAACCTGCGGTCTGTGTGGGTCCTAATGCCCCAGTAAAGTAACGTGGACGCTATACTGCTCAGTGAGCGCCGTCTTTCAGATGAGACGTTAAACTGAGGTGCCGACTCTCTGTGGTCGTTAAAAATCCCAGGATGTCCTTCGAAAAGAGTAGGGGTTTAACCCCGGCATCCTGGCCAAATCTGCCCACTGGCCTCTGTCCATCATGGCCTCCTAACCATCCCCATATTCAATTGGCTTCATCACTGTCTCCTCTCCACCAATCAGCTGGTGTGTGGTGTGCGGTCTGGCGCAAAATGGCTGCCGTCGCGTCATCCAGGTGGATGCTGCACACTGGTGGTGGATGAGGAGATTCCCCCCATTGTGTAAAGCACTTTGAGTGACCAGAAAAGCGCTATATAAATGTATTATTATTATTAGTATTACCCTGCTGAAAATGTACAGTTGGGGTCAGAGGAAACTGTAGCTGTTTTTGTAGCCTTTGCCTTTAGATGTAGATGAAATCCCCACCCACTGCATTACGTCAGATAAACAGCAGTCAGTAACAGAGACAGACATGGATGAAGCAGAAATCTAGTTTAGGAGTCAAAATACCACAGTACAGCTGCATTTACACTGCAGATCTTGATGGTCAATTACGATTTTGTGACTGTATCCGATTTTTTTGATGACCTGCTTACATCATCTTTTAAAAGTGACTCGTATCCGATCGTCTGCATTTACACAGCACACGGCAAAGGTGCAATGACCAGGAAAAAAAAGAGCGGGCGCTGACTAACAGCTGCTCTTTTCTCTAGTCCTGTATGTAATCTGTTCACAGCTTTTGACAAGCTGTTTTACTATAGTTTATGACAGAAAGATTCTCATTTGTCCAGCTTCTTTTGATATATAGGCTTTTTTAAACCTTTAGGCATCTTAAGGTAACGTCCATGGTGTGATTTATGCAGGGGATGTAGCTATGCACTAGTTTTATATTAGTTTATATTGATTACGTGGCGGACATTGCGCTCTCTCGCTCTCGTTAACATGCTTAAATACCTGTGCTATATGACAATATAAAAGCTGTTTAAATCCTCGTGTATACGATTTAAGGTTTGGGACTGGGAAGGTTTGCTGAAGTCTATTCTAAAATGAAAATGTCAGACTTGACGTCATTCGCTACAGTTTTTAATGTCGCGCGACTCGCATTGACAGGTGAAAATCCGATCTACTTGCTTACACTGCAGACACGAGAACACAGATCCGATTCATATCGGATAAATTTCCACATACGAACAAGGCCTGAATCTGATTTGAGTAAATCGGAATCCATGTGACTTGTTCCTGCTTACACGTACATGGGCCATATCTGATCTGTGCCACATGAGAGAAACAAATAGGAATTGAATTACTTGAGTGCAGTGTAAATGCGGCCTAAGACTGAACCAGGAATGTTCACAATGATTATTCAATGTATTTGTTGCGGAGTTTATTCAAGCGCACACGAATACCATAATAAAGTTCGCTGTACACACATGCATTTAATTTTGCTTTGTTTTTGCACGTATACTTGTGCAAAATGTGACAGGATACAAGTTAATATCAGGGCTTGAAATTGCGACCCGAAATTTTATCTGTGCGACCTCTAAATATATTTGGGAGCATGTGTGCATAAAATTGTTGTGTGCGACCAGTTTTTACTGCAAAATGTTCACCACATGGGCGGATTCGGGAGACATTCACGCAGAATGCATCTTTGCACTTGAAACGCGAAACGCCTCGCTCAGAAATGGTTTAAAACAGTTGTCATGTCAACTTGCTTGGGTTGGTGTCGTTGTTGTCGTGCGCGTACTGAAGAGCGGTGTTGTCGCACGCGTTCTGATTAGCGGTGTTGTCACGCACGTTCTGATTAGCGGTGTTGTCGCGCGCGTTCTGATTAGCGGTGTTGTCGCGCGCGTTCTGATTAGCGGTGTTGTCGCGCGCGTTCTGATTAGCGGTGTTGTCGCGCGCGTAATGTAAACAGCGGGGGGGGGGGGAGTGTACTCAAGAGCGGTGTTGTCGCGCGCCTACTGAAGGGCGGTAGGGGGGAGGGGGGGTGTCGCGGGGACACTTTTGATCATTTTGGTAGGGCACTTTCTATCCAAGACTAAAAAGGGCACAGGTTGAGCCCTATGTGTGCATGTACCTGTTGCTGCAGTAAACCAAGCCAAGTCTGTAATGCTTGCCCCGCCTTTGCGCTCTTCTTATTGGCCCACTGCTCTAGAACTGAATGCGAATGGATTGGTTAATATCAGCTGTCAATCACTCAGGATGACAGGGAGAGCTACTACTGCGAAAAATTGTTAAGCGCTGAAGATGAGAATGAAAATAACACTGACAGATTTCGTTTTTGAAACCATGGCATCTAAAGTTACAAATAATGACACATCTTAGTAGTGATCATGTGCATGTTAATCCACCATCTACACTTTTCGAAGAGTGGATAAAAGACTTCCATTGGCTTCAAGTCCCGCTGTGGGATGGAATTTTCAGGTAACTTTGCCACATCCAGCACGAGAGCTTCTGCTTAATATTTCATTTAATCGCCAGATGCTGTCCACTGTGCAAGTGGCAGCTATATGTCAAATTTAACACAACGTACACCATCGCAAACGGGCTTACACTGAGTAAACTAATACCGCTACTCATGAAAAGACTGGTATTGCTATTAACATGACGTATGCATATAATAAGGTACAGTATATGTCAAAAGCATCAGTGCAATATCAGAAAGCACCCGTGGGAACAGCACAGTTATACCGTTAACAGATTCATTCATGTCAAGCAGTGCGTGCAGGGCCGGTGAGCGGTCCCTGTATCTTTTGGTCACTCAGTTATGTTATAAAAATGTGTTTTCTTGTGATAACGTGCATTCGACATATTTTCCTCGCGCATGCATATATATTTTTTGGCTTGTTAGTTTGATTAGTGTTGATTTCAAATGCAATAAATATGTTTGGATAAAACTTGTAACGGTGCTTCTAATTGGTGGGTGTGACAAAATTTTGGCTGATGCGCCTACATTTTTAAAGTTAGGAGCACCGGTGCTACCAAGCAAAAAGGTTAATTTCGAGCTCTGAATATACACTGCTATATGAATATTGCTACTGTACAAGATAACCTGATTTAACATTCACAAACTGGGTTTCTTGTTGCGTGTTTGAACCGCCATTGATTATAGTTGTACCGACACTGCAGCTGTGCTGATTCCAGCAGTTATGAATTACATAGTGATTTTACTGTCTTTTATTTATTAGAAACATGCACTGTTTTAAACATGTTTTAAACTCGTAAAACTCATTCTTAAGTGGCAGCTGATCACAGAGAGTTGGAACAGACCTCTTAATCCCAGTTTCTTTGCAAATCCTGTCTTGTGGACATGATTATACTCATTACTAGGCTCACATGGAATCTGCACGCGCAGAATTCCGCATATTTGTAGCCCATCATTGATTCTTTTTATTTACTTGTGTTAATGTGTGTAAATTTATATTTATTCAGTTTTTATATTAAATACATTAATATTATTGACTAATATGAAAATATTTATATGATTTATTTACAATACAGCTTGTCAAGTAATCTCTAAAGTCTTTTAGTAGATATATTATTTGAGAGACTTGCTTTGTTTACCAAATAAGTGGATTTAATTGGATTCGCATGGTAAACATTAAACTTAAAATGGTATTACTTTTTATTTTTATATATTAAGGTTTTAGTTATGATACTCCCAAAATTATTCCGCAATATCCACAGATTTTTAACACAATTCTGCGCAGAAATAGCAAAAAAATGTCTGCAGATTCCGTCTGGCCCTAGTCATTATTATGTGGACATGTTAATATGGGCCTGTCAGTTGATTCATTGAGCAGGGAAAGCTG